TCAAGTTTGAACACAATGAATAATACTCCGCGTACATGGAATTAGTAAGGATTAGCAAAATCTTTGTAATGAACCTGCATCTTGCTGATGAATGGCCGAGGGAGCAAAATCTTACTCTAACCATTCTTGAAGTAATAGGGTTGTCTTCAGCTTTCTCGACCTCACGACTGGCATGAAATTTGAACTGGAACTTCGAATCCAACCAACTTACATCAGCTATAAAGGACTTGGACTCATCTAAGATAGAGCAATTCAACTCGGTCAAAGAGCACGTAATTTCGGAAGAATGGGGGTTCGGATCAATGGCTTGACGTACTTGGACGGCGCGAATTAAAATATGTATTAGTGGTCTTCTTTCAGCCTCCATTCCAAAGCTGCCCATTATACTTTTTATATTCCTCTTTTACTAACCCTCTGCAATGTCAATTTATCCATTTATCTGTCTTGAGATTCTTTTTTTCTTCGCGATACTTTTTATTATTTTTCTTGCAAAGACCACTTTCCGCCTTTGTATGCAACCGTCCTGTCCATAGCTTTTCCCTGGTCCTTGACTTGGATAGCTTCCGAGTTCACAGACTATTAGTGGTCGCAAAGTCGGGTTCAATTTAGTTCAGATAGGAATTTTCGTGAACTCAGAACCGGACCACACTATGACTTGTTGACGATTAATGACAGTAGAAAATTACTAGAAATAGGTAACATAAACCCTACTCCAGCGAATAACCAAAGAATGCAATCTTAACCATATATACTCTCAGATAGTATTATGCGCAGCTGTAAGCATGGCATACTTACTACGCGCCATCTGTTTATATACTGTCCGACGTTAAGAAACATATTGTTTCTTAATAGCTTCATTTGCATAACGGCTAAAGTGTATCAGTTGCGTTCGGACAGGCAGCAGGCTTTCAGCAGCAATCAATAACAAGGAAGGATAAATACTACAGGAAGCCTAAATTGAAAAAAAGAGACTCGTACTGCCGTGCTTGCAACGGCCCACTACCCCAAGTGAGTATGCCAGGAGAAATAAAAGAAAGTGTGGTGTCTGGTTACTTTTTTATGTATGAATAACATGCCTATGCTGAGGATTTCAAACAAACACATTGTTTAAAGCCAGTTACTCATTCTGCTGACTTCACTCATACCTCCAATCCCGCGTCAAAAGCAATATACAGCTTCCATCCTCCGATAATTCACCCTGGTGCTTGGCATTCAAATTTAATTTCACGATATCTTAATCCACGTGTTTATTTCTTTTCTTATGCGAGTAGGGTTTAGTTCAGCGTGAATGGTCATCGATATCGGCGATAGATGTCGGGATGAATGTATTAGTGATTTTCTGTCCTCGGTGCCTGATGAGCGCTTGCATTTCGATCTCATTTATTTTGGGAGCAAGTGACACCTGTCATGGTCTGCTTGTTCTGCTTTTGCAAAAACGTTTGAAGCAAGAAAGGTCGAAAAACGCAACCAACTGATTCAGATTCCTCCGAGCAGGAAATCATGTAGAGCATCTCTAGGAAAATGTTTTTATTCACACTGAACCTCCTTCCAGCTCTTCCTCCCGGCTCGAAATCATTCCGAGATTCCCTGAAGGAGATTTTCTAGGATACCAGGCTTTTGGCGCTGGCGATCAGATCAGCTGTCAAGAATTACTATTTGTACATGTTTGCTCATCATGGCAGATTCACATGCTTCGTCGCAGGTTGGCGATATAGCATGTGCTTTGGGTATTTGTTATGGGCCTTTAACTGTGCTTCTGAACGCTCATCTTGTGCTCAGGCGAGCCAACAACGATGGCCAATGGTCCACCATCACCAACAACAGCGACAACGGCGTCGCTCGACGATCAAGAAGAGAGTGTGCGTATAGCAGTGCGGGCACTGGGGGACATGAGGAACAGCACAGGTGCACATCGATTTATCACATATTTATCGGTTTACGATCTAACCTTGAGTAAAGCATCCCGACCAACGCCACCGCTCTCTCGCCTGCCTTCAAACTCGTCTGCACTGAGCCCAGCATCGCCTACATCCACCGCATCCTCATCAGTGACCCGGGACTCCGATGCAAGCTCCTCAGCAACGCCCACTTCGGTCGACTTTGTCTCCCGCATGTCCCGCCTCCCTCTTGTCAACTCTGCCGTCCGCGCCTACGAGCAGGGTAAAGCGTCTTCGAGGGTCGTGAAGGTGCGTCTCACCCCTGCCATTCAGCCCATCATGTGACTGAGGTTCTCCATAGTATGGCGCTGAAATGGTCGAGTCGAGCGTCAAGACGATATCTCGACCTGTTATCGACCGCCTTCCCGTGAATATCAATCAGCTCGATGAGTTTGCTTGCAAGCAATTGGACAGGGTGAGTAGTACACTTTAGTTCATTCACTCGATTTTTTGCTTCCGTCTTCTCTCCCATGAATTTGCCGGCGGGGAGTATCCTCGAAAGATATTTATGCGTCCGCGATGGAGCGCGCATCCTTTTTCCGAGAGCCTCATCTATTATTGAGGGTTCTTACATCCGTCTCTTTGTCGTCCTGCTTTCTCCGCCTTCACATGCTAAAACGGTGCTGCAGTTGGACAAATACAGATGCCCCTCTACTGGCGATTTCAATGCTGCCGCTGTGTCACCATCAAGTCCTCGTATGGCGGTATCGGTTGAAGAAGGCCCTTCCGAGCGCGGGCGGAGGACCAAAACACTCGATGGGTCGGACGACTCGAGGCGTGGCGTGACTATGTTATGCGAAGATTCGAGTGTACGAAACGAGGGACGAGAGTGGAGAGATACGGGGGTTCCTAGTTGGTTAGAGGGTGAGTTTTTCGTGGGATGCAATGTTGACTTCGACTTACGGTCATTTAGGCAACCGAGCATTTGAAGACACCCGGTCGTCTACCCCAACACAACACGGCGATGATGAATTTACTCGCCACCGATCCCGCGATTCTACTTCGGAATCAGGGAACGAACAACACCAGCAAGTTGCTCAGCGCAGCCGGTGGCAGGCCGTGCTGCTTGAAGCTGGCGGATTAAGTGCTGCACTCAGTGAAGAGAGCATGCGTCGGCTGAAATATTGTCTCCAGTGGCTCCAGGTGCGTACTCTCGTCTTATTCCATGCACCCAGTCTAACGCTTCTCAAAAATAGTACGCGACTGCACACATCGATGCCCAGATCCTCATTCTCCGTGACTTCACCGCCGGACTTCAACCCCTCCCCTCCGACTCCACATCCTCCCGACGTCCACCCATCTCAGAAGAACACATGCGTAAACTTACTGACGTAAGACGTGATATCGTACACACCATCCGCCAAGTCGTCGACGTTGTATCCAAGTATGCCGGTGGTGCGCTCCCTGAACCTGCACGGACCCGGGTGAGAGGATTCATATTGAAGCTTCCCCAGCGATGGGCAAGCAAGGCCAGCGCAGCTGGCGTCATCAGCGGCGCTGGAGTCAACACTGCAGGAACCGAGCGGGAAACAGTCGCAGCAGCTGCGTCTGGAACCGGGTTTGTGCGCCCAAGGGGCACACGGAGGGCTGCACAGCGTGAGCGGGGTGCTGGAGCCTCTGAGAGCGGGTTGAGGAGCGGTACTTCGTCTCGTGCTACGTCGCCTGCTTCCTCGCCGAGGATATCAAGGAGACATGCTGAGTTGAGCATGACTGAGGCGAATCCGAACGGTGGGAGTGCGAATGGCGAGCAGCAGGCAGTGGTTTCCCACGGGACGGCTCTTGTAGCTGCTCAGCGCATACTGACATTGGCTACTGAGAGTTTGGATATGATGAGGGGTGTGACGGGTGTGGTGAAGGATTCGTTGGATCGCGCGGATGCGTGCGTAATGATCTCCTATCAATTAACCTATATTACAACTAACCGTTTTGGTGTTCCTCACGTATAGATGGGTCGGACGATTCCGCACAGTCGGTCTTCAGCGCGGCATACAAGAAGGGGACGAAACCGACACCTCCGAGTTCGATTTCCCGGGTATTGGCACTAGTGGACAGAGGCACCGTCGTACTGGAAGTGCGCAATCACAATTTGACGAACACGATCTACCATCGCCCTTCTTCTCTGGGTCATCTTCGACGGCATGGGGATCGAGTATTCCTTCAACTCCTGGCGGCTCCTATACACCCTACCCCTACGCTGGTAATGCACCAAGCCCGATCGCTAACGGAATTGGTGCAATGACTCTAGGATCAAGATACAGCACCCCGAAGAGCGTTATGGTTGAACTACCAGAGGAGGATATGGTGGCAGCAGAGGAGTCGAAGGCCACTGTGGCTTTGGCTGACAACAATGCCTGTGTCACCGGCAAAGGCGCTGATTTGTCGTTGCCGAGAGGGGAAGTGAAAGTCGTTGGCGTTGATAGCGACACTGACGAAGGCGGGCGGGAGGTGCAAAATATGGACGTGGACGTGTAGGTGTGGATACTGCCTGCCTCTTGTTCTTTAGTCCAGAATTCTCCGGATCTTCTACTCTCAGTTCATTCTTTTCTAAGGTGAACGACTCGCACACTCCTTATCTCGCATACAACATAGTACACTTTCATTCACGTCCTCTAACAGTCTCTTATTATTCGCCTGTTTATTGTTTTTATCTTTGCATTGTTTCTCCTTTTGTCTCTTTAGCATCATCTCCATCTCATACCCTTACTGTGGTGTATCATCAAATACCGTAGCGTAGCTGTACTTATTTCCCAACTTACTTATCTTGAGCCATCATTTTACTCTCTTATTTATAGTTTGAATTTCATTATCGCCGCAGGATACTGAACGAAAGAGAGAAACGAGGGATAGGTTGTTTACAGTTATTTACCAATGGCTTTTTAACAGGATTACATCCCAGTTTAGGGTCTCGATTGGAAAGTGGCCTTTACAGCGCCTCCTAATACCTTTCATGGAGTGTTTGGCGGTTATCCTATCACCTATACACTGTAGTAGAAGATGTATATACATAAGAGCACTGCAAACTGCAATATCCAATCTGAATACACGTGATATACACAAATACAAGCCCGCCTAGCTCAATCGGATAGAGCGTCAGACTTTTAAGACCTAGGCGAGGCTCGAACCTGTTCTCAATGGGATCTGAAGGCTGCGGGTTCGACCCCCGCGGTGGGCTATATCGTTATTCATTCTCTTTTTCTTTATAGTTAGAACTAGCAGATATGTGCCGAGATGGATCCAAACCCCCGATAAGTCGAAGTTATCAACGTACTTAGCGAGTTTTGAACATTTTTTTGTAATACATAAGCCAATTCCATCGAAATTGTCAGTGCTTTACTTAATTGGTAAGACAGGGTATCGCATTCCATCAAACAGAGAATCTCGCTTCCTTATATACTACGCAGATTCTGTAATAGTATGAGTATCCTTAATTTACCATTAACTATACTCCGACTTCTTTGATGACCTCCACTGAAGTAGTATATAGCTCCTTCGCAAGCCTTTCATCCAAGGCACACTTTGAAGGTTGGGTAACCTGAGCGATAGGAACTAGATATGCACCTTTATAAAGATCCTTCTTCGCGCGGACCGCCGGAGATGCCGCCGCAAATGCAGAAGTCATAGCACCCGTCCGCCACGATGTGAAGAACATACGACCAAGAAATCCTCCCAGCAATTTACCGATATATGGTACACTTGACAAGAAGCCCTTAGCCCCCACCGTATTAACTGGTCCAGGATGTACGGCCATACAGATGATAGGGACATTCTCAGAGTCCAAGCGGCTCTGCAGTTCTTTTACATGCAAAATGTTCGCTAGTTTCGAATATCCTGGGGAATTGGTTAAGAATTGCATACCGGGAGTGTGAGTAGTTTTTCGCACCATATGTATCCAAATATCCATTAAATGTATCTCCGTATTCTTTGTTCAAACTTTCTTTTCCCTCGAAAGTCGTAACATTAACTCTGCTGTGAGCCATGGACGTCACCTACAAAGTGAATCGAGAAGCATTAATATAGCCTGTCATCCCGTTACGATCTCAAACAGAACAATATCTTACATTTATGATTCGAACGTCTGAACTCTCCTGTCTTGCTGTTTCTTTCAATAAAGGTAAAAGCGCCTCGGTTAGGACAAAGTGACTCAAGTGGCTGTAGAAGAATTAGCCATTGATTCACACACTGTAAAATGATCGCAATTATGATATGGGACTAACTTTACGACCATGACATTTCGCAATCCATTTTCATCCAGGGAGTAAGGACCAACCGCTCCTCTATAAAAGTCAGTCATTATTGAGTAGGAAAGCAAGAGAAAAATAACTGAAAGTACATAGCAGCATTATTGACTGATCACGTCATCAGTAAACCTGGTCATCGACGCTAATTGGGCATACCAAGAATATCCAATCTGTTTTCCTTCTGCTTGAACTCTTCTGCTGATGCCTTCAGTGATCGTAAATCCGAAAGGTCAGTCTTTAACCAATGTACGCTTCCTTCATTAATTCCTTCTGACTCCAGCTGTTTTATGGCTGCTAGGGCTCGACTCTCGCTTCGTGCAGCCATATAAACCTGATAATTCGAGTTAGCAGCTGTGAAGTCTAAAGCTGATAACGCGGACCTTCGCTCCTTTACGGGCAAGGAATTGAATTGTACCATAGCCAATTCCTGTGCTGGGGAGAAAGCGCTATGAGAATCAAGTCTTTTGGGGATAAAACCCCACTTACTTCCCGCCCGTTACTAGGGCTACTTTGCCAGCGAGGTCAACAAGATCCTCCTCTCCAACGGATTTCTTGGATGTAGACATTATCGAAGATGCAATATGAGTTTGAGCGTCAACGTGCAAGACCAATCTTAGCCTGAGTTGAAGATAATTCCCAAGATTACGGTGTGAGAACGATTGTGATGGGAAAGGACGCTTGATCCAATGGGATACAATTTTTATTAATAGATAAAGTCATAGATAGATGACGAATGCACCCACGTGTGTCCGCCGCTAACCATGTCGCATCAAGAATTAAAGAAGCTTCTGCTTGGTTGCGACAATCATGATGCTAACCAAATTTATAGGCTGCAACAAACTCGGAGCCGTAACAATAGAAAAAATCAGGTAATGAAAGATCTGCAACGCTCCCGATTCTCAGATATGGAGGGCTAGTCTTACCTATTCTGCGCAACTGGCCTAAAATTAACGTGTGGCTACACTGGCATGATATAGGGTTGTGGTTCGTCATGAACCACTTTTCTCTTGCTTCTCACCGCCAACACATCGATTATGGCTGACTCCGCTCTTGCTATCAGCAAGCTCATTTTTGCTGGAAGTGCCATTGTGCTCTTAATGTATGGTAAGTAACGTGTCGCAAGTATTACTGTTTTGTGTGAAGGTGCCTAAACCGATACTCTAGGAATTTATTTCACTCTCACCGTCATTTGCCTTCAATATTTGCTCGCTAATGGAAGGCGGAACTGGATACTAGTCGGCTACTTGACGGTTTCATTGCTGGTTACAACGATGTTTATGGCGGCCTCGGTAAAATATACTGAACTAATTCTGCTTGAGAGTGCAGTTGATCCCCTCGGCTCTGCACAATTGGCGTCACGGTTGGATCTGCTTCAACAAGTTACATATTCAGTGAAGATATGGCTCGCTGATAGTCTATTAGTGTGTATCGGCCAATTATTCCCCAACCTGGGCTTATTATGCTAACGTGTTTATAGATTTATCGACTATGGGTTGTATGGGTTGACTCATACACAGTGATTTTGATACCCTCAGTTCTCTTCGTCGGCTCACTGGGTAAATTTCACCAAGTCGATGCTGTGTAATCTTTTAATCGTATAATCAGCTACAGGAATAGCAGGTGTAGCTTTATTCCACCATGTGGATGCCCAAAACGCCATCGTTAATCTCGGCGTTGGATTCCATTCCCTTTCAGTTGCTTTGAATGTCTTGGTCACCGCATTGATCGCAGGCAGGCTGCTATACCACCGACGAACTATTTCCGTCCTCGGTGGAGAACATACACGGCAATACCTCTCACTCTTGGCGGTGTTCGCCGAGTCTGGGGCAATTTACTCTATCACAGGATTAGTTTACATCCCCCTTTATGCTCTTCATAGCAACCTTATTTTTGTCTTCGCGCCCCTTTTGGAGGCGGCATCAGTGAGTTTCCGCATCTCAATTCTATTATCACATGAGTTCGTTGCTCATACGCTTCTAGGGGATCGCCCCAGCTCTGATTCTTCTGCGAATAGCATTGGGCGTGGCCGTAACGAGAAAAACTCAGCGCCAGGTATCGACGCTTCAATTTGGAAATCATACTAAAGAAAGAAAGAGTAGTGAATTCACTGCGTCTGGTGGCGCATCCGGTACATTATCTGTCGGGAATACGACGAGTCAGCCGCATACACGAGAATATCCAGTTGGGAAAGTGCAAGAAGAATTAACCGGAGGCGCTGAAGAATAAATAAATATCACACACTCTCTGATAATAGACGTTCTTTACTTATTATTAACATAATTAAATTTGCTGGACAAACCGTATACACACAGACAACTAATACTCAGAACATCATTGGACTTGAAGATTTATAAATTCAATACTATGGCTTCATATAAAAGTGACTTATTCGAAGATAGAACTTCGACAATTGAAAGGCGACAGAAGGAAAAGAAAAAATGACCACCGCAGGGGTCGAACCTGCAATCTCCTGATATCGAACTTAATCGTAGTCAGACGCGATGCCATTTCGCCAGGCGGCCATTATTAACTTACAACACACGGACTATAATATTTTCTTTTCTCTCTGCTTTGCACATGCTGTCATCACTCTGTCTTGATATCAAAGGAAAGGTACCATTAAGACAGCTAGGAAATTAAAGGCTGCTCGTTGATGAGAAATGACTCTGAAAGGAATCGAATGAAGCCATTAATACAATATTTGTTCTCACTAAACCTAACGGGTGGCTATTACAATAAATCTCTAACTTCGATAATCGCCATTAATTCTAACATATTCCTGTATATATAAGATGGTCAGCTCATATTATCCATGAGGAATATCGAAAACACTCACATAGCTAAAATCACACGTCCAATACTTCGCTTCAGTCTCCGGGCCACCCCCCATACCCATCTCCACCTCGATCTCAAACTCTTCCTCTTGCAAGATCTCCTTCGCGCGCGCTTCGTCGACCTTCTCCGGCTCGCCGTTGATGAGGACTGGCAAGGGGGCAGAACCATCGGCTGGGACAAATGTGACGCTTACTCTTGTAGGGTCGATCGCGGGGGCAGATGCGTAGGGTGAGCTGGAGGTAGGTAAAAAAGGGACGGAGCCGGTAGCAGCCAGAATGCGACCCCAGCTGTAGAAGTTTGTCAGTGAGTAGCTAAGAGGTTACGAAAGAGAGACGTACTTCGCATCTTCTCCATATAGCGCAGTTTTGACCAGTGCCGAAGTAGATATTCTGGATGCGATGCTGTGCGCGCTTTTGTATGAGGGTGCGCTCTACGGTCCGCGTTAATAGAGCATGGAGTAAAGCTGGCGATGTGGCTCGCCTTGACCGTAACGGTAACAAACTTGGTAGCCCCCTCGCCATCCCTCACCACCAACTGAGCAAGATCCTTCGCAAATTCGGTGAGTTCTGTCTTGAATACTTCATATCCTTCTTGATCAGTCTTCTCGTCAATCTCCACAACCTCTTGCCCAGCTCCTGCACCAGCAGCAGCGCCATTGGCCATCAGGATTACGGTATCGTTTGTCGACATATCCCCATCCACGCTGATAGAGTTGAAGCTGCGATCTACTGCGTAGGTCAGGGCGCTCTGCAGACTTCGGGGAGAGATCGCTGCATCTGTAAGGATGCATCCGAGCAGCGTCGCATGTAATTGTTTCGCACCAGAGCCAGTCCCGGTAAAACCAGAGAATGACGTTCTGGCAGGACCCATGTCCGGATGTATCATCCCCGCTCCTTTATCCATACCAGCCATCCGGTACTTCCTCCCTCCGATCGTGAACACCCGCGAACGCAGTTTGGGAAAGGTGTCGGTTGTCATGAAAGCCTTCGCTGCAAGCTCCCATGATGCGAAAGTCGATCCGAGCGTTCGCGTCGAAAGCCGATCCTCTGACTGCTCCTCGATTCCGGTGAGGATCTTCGAAATAGGGAGGTTCTGGCCG